GAGAGGGGAGGTGGCCGTGGGCCGTGTTGACCCAAGCCCGTTCCGCAGGATGGCGCAGTATATGGAGGAGCTGACGGAGCCGACGGCGCTGAAGATCAAAGCCGACTGCCACGGCGCCACCTACCCGGTGGGCGGGTTCCGCGTGCAGCCCTCCGGCTGCGTGGTGACCAGCCTCTTCCCGGAGCACGCCGACCGCATCCGCGACTTCGAGGTGCGGCCCTCCGACATCTGGATCGTCTCCTACCCCAAGTGCGGTGAGCCTCGCTTCCATTCAGTAGAGCAATTCATGGCAAGGGTTTGTGTTTCAGAGCTTTTTACACTGCATGCGACGTTAGAAGAGGGCCAAATCTACACGTTGTGTCGAGTAAAAAATAAAGGGTTATCTCAACATTTGCTTTTTATATAGCTGTATACCGGGAGAACCGATAAATATAGCACACACAGTTATACATTGAAGAAAAAATCAATACCTCGATTACTTGCAGGACAATTACATGTACTAACAAAGTTATTCATGTCAAATAATGTGACGAAAACAATTATAATATGATAAATGAAAATAAATAATTATACGAATAATAAATTAATATTATATACAAATGTAATACGAACATTATAAACCTTAGTTCCGATCTTCTAAACGTCGAATTTAAAAAGTCGAGGAAGTTACAGATGATCCGTGTAATTTTCAGAATTAGAAAAGCAGAGTTCATTGCAGAAGTGAATTTCGCCATGAACTTATGAACATTCATGAATATAAGAACTTTGCTTTAGTGAGTCATTGATAATTCATGAAATATTCATTGACAAAAAACATGAAAAGGGAAAAATTGCGTACAAATGACAAAAAATGCCCAACAACTGTTCATTTCCATGACCTGTAGGTCATGATAAACATTCATTTACGAGATAGTTACATCTGCAATGCACCAATAAAGAGTGACATGTCATCAGCATTGGAACCCTGATCATTATTTTTTTTAACAGACAAGAGAACCTCATTGTCACCTGAGCAAGTGTTTGATATATTATTGATCCATAACACGCATAGGAATTCTTAAGTATCAAATATTCTAAAATGTTATTTGCGTACATCTACTTCCGACTATGTTTGTTACCAATAGTCTTTGCATTTTTATACCTTTCAGCGCAGGCAGTGAATGCGACAAGGAATGTGAATTGGTCATTATCATAATAGTGATAAGCGGAAAATGTGCACATATTTCCGTGATCTGAACCGGCAATTTGACAATTTCAACCGGCCCACGCGTTGTGAAGCGACGCTCGTCTTTCGATTGGTGACCCGTAGGTTATGTCGTTTCCGGTGCGTCTGCGAAACTGCATCCTACGTACGCGTAGCGCCTTGTCAGCTGAACTTGTGTTATCTTCTACAGTGTAATCTACGAATGGTCAAATATTTACCATATGAATTTAACTCATTCTTATTTTTTTTTTGGTTTTGTACTATTTCATTATTTTTATTCTTATTTTGTATTATATTATTAACATTTTCGATATAAGATTTCTAGAATAAAAAAGTAAGGATACACAATATTTTATTTTCGTAGATTAAGTACTATTTAAAAGCGAGCCATTATCATGTTTATTGATAATTTTGGAAGATCTTACGAACAAGATCATTAAAATATTAATAAATATAACCCAAATATTATAATATTCTCTAATTTTTCAAGATAAATTTGAAAAATGCCGAAATAAATAAAATAGCCATTTGCATTTAATTTTCCGTTTACCAGACAGGACTTTTACTATCTAATTCTTGAAAAATTCAATAATACACCGTGCCACTCTCATAACTTTCTATGAACATTTATTCGCGTCCACAGTGTTCTTTTGATACGTTGGAAGATACAGGAGTTCAGTTTTAACTTTATTATTGGTTCCAAAAATGTATACTATTTAAAGTACATTGGTATATTATTGTAATATGACCTTCAGGTGCACTTTGCACCATAGCCTAAACCGCTGAAAAATGAAATACGTGAGATGGACGTTATGTCTTCCATGTCTCAAAGCATAACGATAACGGCTTCGTGCCCCCGAGTAACGGACACTCGAGTATGCGATACTCGAGTCTCCTGTACTGGACGAATGCTCGAGCGAGGAAAAGCGCGAAGATGCAATTCTCTAGATTGAAAGCCATCTGAGCGACAAAAGCATCAACTAATGTTCGTGAGGTATACAAAATTTTATGGTTCACTCGTTTGCACGCCACCACCTATCTTTCTACTAAGCTCGAAAATACAAGTTCATTTATCTTAGAAATGGTTTAAAGGTCTTTCTTTTAGGCAGTAATTCAATCATATAATAAACGTTAATTTAAAATGAACCAATATTTATACCTACGTAAATATTATTATTAAATGCCATCATGCCTTGATACTTCCGAGACTTCTGAAATATTACAAATATTTTTATTGAGGTGAATTATAAATTTAAATTATTAATTGATGCAATTTTCTCAAAGGTCCTATTTACTGAAATTTTAATTTTTTTTTTTTCATCTGATTTTTAGTTACAACCTGTAAAATAAAATTATATCAAAACTAATTATCAAAAACAAAGAACAAATTGAAAAAGTATGTCGTAGATTCATTTAAACAATTTGTCATTTATAACTTGTAAAATTATTTCATATATATTATATTCACTTGTATTTAATGTATCCTAAGATGAATGCCAACGACCTTCAAAACGTAGTGTACAGATGGTTTGATTTCTAATAAAAGTTTATAATATGATTGAATGTCTGCATAAAAAAAAGACCTTCAAATCAATTCTAAAATAACATCAAGAAAGGCAGTCCTATTCTCACTGAATAAATTTAAGATTTTCTTTCAAAACAACGAGTTTATTTATCAATTATGGCCTTCACGTGTCAGGGTATAAATAGAACAGAAATGCAGAAGTTTCAATTGCACTCGGGTGATATAAAGTGAGAGGTACCTTAGGTTAGTTATAGGTGTCGCAGACTTTCAAAAAAATCATCATAAGATGAATTGTCATTTATATTCTCTCAGCAGAACCATGCGTGCAAGGTACGTGATAGTAACGCACATGCCATTTCTTTGATCAAAATGTGAACGGGACAGGGATGAAATGGATTGTGTGAAATTGAGTATACAATGACTACAAATCAAATGAAAAATGCACACTTCGTTCCTCACATTTATGTCTCTTTAAAAACAGTTAGTAATCGGCAAATAAGGGAAGATAGACCAGAAAAGAAAAAAAATCTACTTTGGAAATATTTATGTGTTTGTGTTGTCTTATAAACAGTGAAATCTCAGCCGTGATACACAATCGTGCGTCGAAGTTCTACAGCAGGCGTGCTGAATGAAATTTGCGTAGTAAACTCAAGGAGAAAGTCGGAAATAGTTCTCGTGTTAAATCGTTCTTCTCTTTCTGCGATTCAGCTTCTTTCTCTCTCTCTCTCTCTTTCCATCTAGGAAGGTTTATGGAAAGCTGAGAGGCACAGACTGGCGTGGTGACGTTTATATCTTCTGATTATTAATGTTCCTTCACGGCGCAAGTCTAACGTTATGAGTCTGTGCAATTGTAGTTCAGGTTTAAGATTTACGAGAATTTTAGTGCATAATAGCTTCATGAGAAATAGTCCTGTTTCCGTAAGTCCAACAGTGACATAGTAAGCTTAAAGAAGAAAGTAAAATATAGTGTCGTAATGCAGTTCACACATCAGCCTCAGTAATACCGGTTAGTTCTTTCATGATACTAGTGATTATACGACAAAATGAAGATATACATTCAGAGAGAAAGCCCAGAATTTATTTTGAGCCTTCTAGAAGCTTGATGCTTCTAGAAGGTCTTTTCTTTTCTCTCAGAGCAAGGAATACGTTAAAAAAATCATGTAAACCAACCTGCTAATATACAAGGACACGACAGTATCTAAAGGTTGCGTTCGAAAATATTAATTAGTTAGGAAAGCGTAAATGAGGAAGACACCGTCCACTTTTGTGGGTTCTTGATGCCAAAAAATTGGTTGATGGCAACTGCCTGTGTCTGTCCATCTGCTCATCTGTGGTAGACACAGGCATCTACGCCGTTCACACGATTTTCTCAAAACTTCACATTTCCCGATCAATCTGGCGGAAATAGAGGCCTGGCGATATTTTGATTTTTGAGGGCACTTTACATGATGCCTCAAAATTTTCTATTTTTTTTAAAAAGGCCACAAATTTTTCGATTATTTTGTATCGGATAGAACATAGTACATTTAAAAAAGTGGCGCAAGTTTTTTGATTGTTGAAGTCTCCGTATTTTCGAAAATTTCAAAGGTTTGGAGTTATTGAGGTGCCACCCTCCAGCTAAAATATAGAAAAAGAAATTTCATTTCCGAATGACTTTTTCTTCAGAATTAGAGAATTATGTAAAGCCAATATTTGTATTTTTGACGTGTATAAACATAAAGGATATGTTAAACAAAACTTCTAATTGACATGAAACAAGCTCTATGTGTGCTGAATTTCAATGTTTTCATAATGATGATTAAAAATTGAGTCAAATACTTATTGTTTACCGAGATGTGTTTATGAAAAAAATACCACCGTCAGGAAAAGTATATTTTTGCAAGTTGTTCAAAGGTGATTTAAAATAGTTTAACCATGGGTACCTTCATTTCTTTAAAAAGACTTTCGAAAGACCAGAACAAGGCGTCTCCTTGTCGATCCCAAGAATTATGAAAGATTTTCGTTGTAATTAGTGCGGAACTCTTGGGACCGCTGCTACCTTCGAACAAAAGCTGTCATTCGCCGCGAATCTTTTGTTTCTGTGAGGACCCTTTTTCACAAAATTGAATAGAAAATATAATTTATAATTCAATTGTGGTTTCAAGTCTTCTAGAAAATATACATTAATTACATAGAAATACCGTGGAGAGTTATAAACAGTAAAACATGTATGCCGAAATACGGGGGTGTGAAGATTTTACAGCCAGTTGAGAGGAAACATTTTTCCGTAGTTTTAATATAATCGCATACCTGATAAAGTGGACAGATTCTAATGTCATTAATGTTATTACATGTTATGTTATATACATTATCACTATCGACAAAGTAGTAACTGAGTTCTGAAAATCTGCCTCATGAAGTAGAAACATGAAGTAGATTTATATACTTCGTCTGACTTGCTGAATCGAAAATAATGTTTCAAGGATAAAATTAATATAATTTGTACTTTTTAAAACCTTTTCTAAATTATTTGATGTCAAACATTA